AAAAGTCCAAAATTGTGTGCACAAATTTTCTTACATGTAAAAGCATTATAATCTACATATTCACAACTTAATATTTCTGAACAAATACATGTCGGTCCTTTCATTGAAGTCTTGATGAGTATGGTTTCTAGTGATACATTGACGGGTTGGGGCAACAAGGGAAAATGGAAAGGGAAACAGCTATTGATGCTGAATTTTTTGTAGGCATGCAAGAATAACTTAACAACTAAAAAGAACGTACTCAAAACAACACAAATGCATAAGGCACAAATTGTAACAGCTGAAGCCCACCACACTACTGGCGATATTGTCCTCTTTGAGCTTTCCCTTATGGGTTTCCCCTCAAGGTTTTAAAACGTGCCTACTAGGGAGAGGTTTTATCACCCTTATAAGGAATGTTTCATTCTCCTTTCCAAGCAATGTGGGATCTCACAATCCACTCCCCTTGGGAGCCAGCGAGGACATTGGCACACCGTCCGTGTTTGGCTCTGATACCATTTGTAACAACCCAAACCCACCGCTATTAGATATTGTCCTCTTTGAGATTTCCCTTCTAGGTTTTCCCTCAAGGTTTTAAAACTACACCTACTAGGGAAAGGTTTCAACACTCTTATAAGGAATGCTTCGTTCTCCTCTCCAACCAATGAGGGATCTCACACAAATGACCATATGACCATAGCAAGAGTTATTCAATTACTAATTACAGAACAAACTACCAAGTAAAAGACTCTAGCTAACTTAAACAAGCCGTTTAATAAATCAATAAACAATGAAAAGACTCTTGCAGTAAGTATTGAAAGTATTGACTAGAGAAGCTAGCTAGCTTACTTCATTTACAGGTGCCTCATTATCACGAATAACAGCATCATGACTGTCGATTTCTTCACCAAACTCTGTCTTTAGAAGATCTCCAGAGTTTCCCACAACTGCACAGGTTTTAAACTGCCGGGGGTGAAAAGGAGGTTTGGATGGCAGGATCAAATTTAGGTGTTCCTCACAAAGAGATCTATTGTAACATTTATCCGCTCCCCTACACAAAGACGAATAGATTTCACTCCACCAAAACAGTTGCCGTCACTAGTTCAAAGAAAACCACCAGAAGAAATCAACTCGAAGGAATAAGATATGAGTAACCCTACAATTGTGCTATCCTCTTTGCAGCATAATCAAACCAGCCATCAGGCCTTGCATCCAAATACTCTCTCGTCAAGACAGTAGTCATGTTGCGATACTGTATTGCTCAACGCACATTAGAATGGACATGTATAGTATTTAAGAGATTGCACAGATTGAAGATGGCTAATACCAACCTGTTCCCACAATAGTATGGCCTCACACACATCATATGGGTATTCCAATGGCTCATAAATCTTGAACTGCTCATTATACTGCCCATACAAAGCATAAAAAAATCAGCAACAAAGAAAATGGGTGAACACACACACACACACACACACACACCACAAAGAAAGAGAGAGAGAGAGACCCAGGTACTATTTGTGCCTTCTGGGAACTTGAGAATTAGCTTGCAGTGGTCAATAATATGAGCGGTGAGTCCAAGTCCCCTGTTTGCCTATACCAAATTTCATGTTCAGATGAAGCTCAAAAGATAACTGAAACTGCAGGGAGTAATCCACATACATAATGCATAATTTTTTTAAAAAAATAATTAAAACCACTAAGATGCAATATTTGAAAAGACAACCGGCATTCTCAATGTTAGATAAACACAACTCTCCACAATAGTATGATATTGTCCACTTTGAGCATAAGCTCTCATGACTTTGCTTTGGGCTTCCCCAAAAAGCCTCAAACCAATAGAGAGAGTATTCTTTGATTATAGACCCATGATCATTCCTTAAATTAGCCGATGTGGGACTTTCATCCAACATCTCCCCTCGAACAAAGTACGCCTCCCCTTAATCGTGGCTCGACTCCTTTTCTTTTGGAGTCTTGGTCATCTTTTACTGAGCCTCGACTCCTTTTTCTTTTGGAGTCCTTTGTTCGACATTTGAGGATTCTGTTGACATAGCTAAGTTTAGGGCATGGCTCTGATACCATGTTAGATGAACACGACTCTCCACAATAGTATGATATTGTCCACTTTGAGCATAAGCTCTCATGGCTTTGTTTTGGGCTTCCCCAAAAGGCTTCAAACCAATGGGGAGAGTATTCCTTGATTATAAATCCATGATCATTCCCTAAATTAGCCGATGTGGGACTTTCATCTAACACTCAGGACATGTGCCAACCACCTTTGGTTGGCACATCGGAGCGTAGGGTTCAAGCAGTAGGTCCTGAAATTTGTCACGACTGGCTTGACGCCCATGGGTACTGAAGGAAAAAAAAAGGCAATGCAAAACAATAGAACAAAGAACACTCAAATTGTGCTGCTTCATCTAACCAAAAGTAGAGAAGATCGGACGACATAACTAAATGTTCTCCAAAAAGCGCTCGAAATTACTACTTGCCTTATACTCCTATACATATTAGGATGCAATGGAGCATGCAACAAACAGTATCATAATTCATAGCACTGGAATCGAAAAATCGATTTCATTCCGAAATGAAAATTAATTAAAAGAAATCAACAATCGGTTCAAATGATCACATAGGCTGAGCTCTTTCCCTCGTCCAGCAAATGTACAATCGAAAAACGGAACAAAATATGAAAGAAATAAACTAAAGCTAAACATGATACAAACCACGCATTGCTGAATGCTGGACTGAAAATCCGACAAAATCCGAACCTCCTCCTTGTTGAGATCTGCAAGAGGCTGCTGATAACCTGAAGTTTTAAACAAGATCTTAGAGAAAATATTTAAGAATTGATGTCGAAGATACAAGGAAATGAGGGACGAAGAACCTGCAAAGAATGAGGATTGAATGACGAAAACTACAAGAGAGAAGAGTGCAGCAGCACAAACGAGATGAAGAAGCGTAAGCCTCCTGCTGCTTCCATTGTTGGAGGCGGAGGCTTTGAGAGATCTCATTTACCCTGTGTTAGGAACCCGTGCGACGTGAGGTTGCAGCACAGGGTGAGATCAGAAGAAGATAAAGAAAAGTGGCGGTGGGGGGCGTGGCGGCGATCGGAGATCGGCGATGTTAGTGTGTGGCTGCCGCTCGGAGAGCAAGGGAGGAAAAAAAAAATAAACCTGAGCTGCCGGAAGGAGGAAGAGAGGAGGAGAGGAGAAAAAAGCAGAAGAGAGAATGATGGAGTTTTTTTTTTTTTTTTTTTTATTATTATTATTATTATTATATAAAAATAATTTGACATAGATTAATTTTTTTTCCTGTTTACTGCCTTAGATTAATTATATTAAAAAATGAAAAATTAATATATTAAAAAAATTATTCACAATAATAATCGAAAGATTAATTATATTAAAAAATGAAAAATTAATATATTAAAAAAATTATTCACAATAATAATCGAAAAAATAGAACCAAGATAATTATTATATACTAAAATTTAGAAAATCATTTAAGCTTTTTTTTTTCCTGTAATGATAATAATAAATTTCATGATTTAAAGATTATAATTTGATAAAAAAGAAAGAGATTTTTAGAAAAAATAAAATGTAAACTTCACAAATAAATGGAAAGTGCCCACCAAAAAAGAAAAAAAAAAAAAAAAACTTGAACCTACTATCCAAAAATTGATAAAAAGCATTTAAAAAAAAAACATTTTAGAATATTACATTTCCAAATATTACTTTTAACCTCCCTTTCTTTTCTTTTCGTTCGGTAGGTCAACGATATTTAGAAGTGAGACAGTAAAATTTTGAATCTGCTAGAAGTGCGTGTTGAATTATACTAATTTTAACTTGAACGATGAATAGGTTAAGTGAGAAAGAGTGTCTCTAACTCTTAACCTTAATATAAGAGAGTGGGTTGAGGCTCACCACCAATAGTGCAAGAAAATTGTGGTGACATACTTGTTCAATAGGCAAGTTAATAGCTGAAAAATAAGTGTTGTGATGCATCTAAAGATGATGGTGTGGCACCCAACACAAGAAAAAATATGCAAGAAAGTTAATCTGAGGCACAAATAAGATTAGAAGCGTTGGTGGTGTCGACAATGTGAGAACCATATGAGGTTCCAAGTCGTAACCTCGAAAGTTGGAGTTGCATCATGAGTTTCGACCAGTGACTCTAGAATTAAGTGCAGAGTGAAAGATGTGTATGCTAGATTTCAGAACAAACAAAACAAAAGTATACTACATACTAGTGTATAACTCTTCGGTCTTCACCATATTTGATGTTCATGGATGACATAAAAGAAGTGCCTTATTATACATACATGTATGTGTGGTGTGAATGAGAGTCTCAAACGTCATCTTCATGAAACCCTTTAACAATGTTGAGGGGCACGAGTGTGTCCATATTGCACCTTGTCCCTTATTTGAAGGGAGCTCTAATATGGTATGCTCAATGGACATGGAATGGATACAATTACTCATCATGTCTCGATAATGTTTGAATGTTTGAATGGATGAATAGCTAAAAGGCAATAACAAGTAGAAAGAGTCAAGGGTCGATTCTCGGTAAGCTTGTTCGAATGAGAAATAAAGTTCGATGACATCTAAATATTCAAGAGTGCCAGACTCATTCTATTTGGTAACTTTAGCTATTTAGGGCCGAACGAGTGGTAGGAATCATTTTCAAAGTACTTAGTTGACTCTAACCTAATTAAGTATTAGTAAGAGGTATGAATTAAAATGACTCATTCTAGTAAGGGTTTACCTTGGTGTAAAAGTTGAACGGCTGAGTGATCTAGAATCAAGATACTGATAAATGAAGTAACAAACTATGTAAACATACTTCCCAATTTAGAGACAAGGTTAATGACTCGGCCTGAATACAAGCAAGTCAGTTAAAGTCTCATAAGAGTTAAAATGCATGCACGACAACCACACGACAATACTAGTTCGGGTGAATGTTCAAGATGACATGGTGATGGAACAAGTCTCTTAAACATGGCATTGTATTCATCATTCTTGCCGGAGGAAAAGAAAGGATAGATTAATAATAGCAAACCATTTTATTTAGCCTTCTGTACAGAGCTAATCTTCTAAAACACAAACTACCACAAAAGCAATCCTAAGTTTTTTAATCAAAAGCCTGATACTGCAAATGAACATTGTTTTATACATCTAAAAATGGAAATACCTTTATTACAATCAGGATGTTCACCTTGAACTGATCAATAGCGCCGACCACCCGCGGTGGATAACAAAACTCGACTAGGTTTCTTCCCCTTCTTTCCCACTTCATTTGCCTTAGGAGATTCTGTACTTCCTCCAGACTTCGCCCTCGATATTATATTCGCAAACGATGGAGTTGCATTGTGTATCTCTGCAATGAACACACAAGCATGATTTAAAAAGAGCCTAAGGATATGCGAGACTCGTTGAAAAACTGAAATTCCAAGGTTCCATTTTCACAATTGTCAGCCTTGGAGCAAAGAAATTACAATGAACAAAAAGGCATCCGAGAAGTACCATTTGCACCCGATGAATCACTTTTCACTTCATTAATGTGCAGAGAATCAGTTTCTTCAATTCTCAAGGATGGAGAATCATGGGCGGCGGCGAAACCAAGTCGTGTAACACTCGAGAACAGTTGCCTCCCGCCAACAGGAGGGCTCGATGATGTCACAGGAGAACTTCCCAAAGCTAGAGATCGAATAATTCACAGGAATTAATATCAACAAACCGTGTGCCAAATTCTATGATTATACTATTACTAACTACAGCCATAGACTTAATAGCCTATAATCTTAAATCAAATTCTTGAGAACCATAAAAAGTAAATACTTGCTGCCCATATTGCCAGGCAACATCATTTGAAAGAAATGCAATTTTCAAAATACCCAAAATTATATATAGTATACTACAATGGGATCGATGATGCAGTATAACCATGCAACAACATGCACCCCATGGATATCCAAAGGTATATACCTCATCGGAATAAATCTATAAAGACAGAATCACATTGGTCAAATTATATATACATATAAAAATACCTAAAATTTTGCTCTTTGTTTAAAAAAAATACTCCTATTCGTTCAAAAATTATAATATTGCCCTTGACTTTCGTAAACGGTATGATTGTAGCTGGGTAGTAACTAGAATGCTTGTTTGCATTAAGTCTAAAATAACGGTGTCCTGTCCCATTGACTTTTCATTCAACATTCTAACAAATTTGTACTTCAAAGGTAATTTAGAAACGTTTATGAAAGACCATATTTCCTTTTGAAAGAATAAGAGTTTTTTTAAAAACAGAGAACAAAGTTGAAATACTTTTTTGAAAAATAATTTAGCAATTACATATAACTTTGTTTAAGTGGTTTATAACTTAAAATATTTGATTTGACAACCCAGGTTACTACTTCAGAGCTCCCTTACGTTTTGAAAAATAAGCTTATTTGGAAGCCTTCCAAGTATATTCTTTTTTTCCCCTTCTTTAATATTTTTTAAATCCTAACCAAAATTCACAAATTAAGGTGTTCAGTTCTTAAAACTTCCTATGTTAAGAATATGGCAAAAATCTCAATAACTCCTAAAAGCATATACTTCTCTGAACAAAACAGGAATTGCCTCATTAGTCAAAACTGCTCAGTGTTATTCTCTAATTTCTACACTAAGAACTCAGTATTTTTAGAACTCAAAACATATTTACAATTGAATTCACCTTCGCCCATTGCAAAAATTCAAGCAGACAAAGGATGGAAATGTAATAGTAAGGTAAATATTACCTTCAAAGTCATCCAGGGAAAGGTTTGGAGTATCGTAACGATATGAACTTCCTGAACCGGCCATCATTGACAAAGAACACGTTGAAGCAGATTCTGCTTTGATCTTCTCCCTTTGCATCTGATAATAACAAAAACTCGTGATTTGATTACTGAAGAGAGGAACCTACTGAAGTAATAAATGTTCATTTGAGATTTCATTGATGCCATTAATCTAGAATGGGATATATATCTCCTTCAGTTCACGAGTACTAGAAGAATTTTATATAACTATGACTTAATAGTCAAACCTTTACACAATCCAACAACAGTAACTAACTTGAAAAGGAAACAAGTGATGGCTTACGTACATGGAAACTAAAGGGGAAATGACTAACAGAAATTATAAAAGAATTGGAGAGATCCCAACCACACCTAGGCTCTTAGTTCGCAAAATACCTTTTTTGCAAGTTGTTTCCTCTGCTTCTCACGCTTCTTTATCTCATCCATGAAGGGAATCATGGAAGACGAAGGCAACAGGTTGGTCAAATCAATTTCACATAGCTGAAAATTTTGGGTGGAATGATCAGAAATAATGACTTGCAAGCCCTTAAATATGGTTCAAGAAACTTGACGAATGAGTATACCTGAAACGATGTTGTTAAGGAAAAATGACTCAAATAACGATACCGCCTTCTTGTGGCCTCGGTTTGGGTGACTGTTTCAAATTCTAAAACCTTTCCACTTATTCTACAAATGCAGAAACAATTATGAGAAACTCTAAATAAACCTAATAAAACCCAAGAGTTACAATCTCTTGCTCGCAAAATGCAAGAGATATAATTTGTCTTAATACATACAAACCTGAGTGGCAGCCTGCCATAACTCCCATAATATTGTAAAAGACACTTCATGTTTAATGGATGGAGAATGATATGCTGGCCATCGGTAGCCTAAAATCAACAGAAGCAGTTAATATAAAATGCATGCGCAAATTAATAAGTGGATGATTTATGAATCAAAATCCAAAAAGCATCAATGGGATACAAATAGGCAATCCCTTCAAGAAAAACCGAAGGAAACGAAAATCAAATATGCCAGCATTTGTTTGACACAGCTAATAAGGTACAATGGCATATCATGAAAAGCACAGAGACCTAACCAGTGTTCATACACAGGATAATAATGATTTTCACCTGGTAAAAATTGTACGAGTCCTTGTCCTTTGCATCTCTAATTTCATTTGAGTTTTGTTGGAGTTCTAAAAGTTCATCAACAGCCTCAGTCTGACCCACATGAGTAGAATAATCCAACTTATCTTGCACTACATTCCCTAGAAGCTTGCAATCATCATTAATATCAATGGAAGAAGCCTCGTGTCTAGAACTGCATGCTCCAGGACCAGCATTGCTAACATTACCAGTTGGAAGGAGCGTTTGAGATCTTATCTGACAGTCATTCTGCTTAAAACAGGCCTGAAGTTCATTCCAATCCTTCTTCCTCTGCTCCAGTTGTTCCAAAACAGCACAAACATATGGAAGCTTTTCGAGGTCATCTACTTGCCCTGTTTCTGCTTTTGCTAACCAGGCATCTAAATCAGATATTGCTTGCCGCACTGAGAGATCCACGTCAGATGTAAATATAAACTTCGAAAAAGAATCATAGATTTCATCGTTATCACTTGACCTGATACCATCCTCTTGTTTATCCTTGAATGATAAGGCAAATGAATCTTTTTGCCGAGTTAAAAGCATAAATTCTATAGTATCACCAACAGAATATTGCTTCAAAAGCTCAATGTGGACGGTGTATAAATCCTTCAGAGACAGCATCACAAAACACAAAGGACATTTTTTCCAGCAGTCACCTTTCTGATCCTCCTTGCCCATTAACAGGTACCTCAAAATGCACGGGAAACAATAAATATGTCCACATGAAGTAATTTGAGGACAGTGTGGATGCTCCAGACAAATAGGACATTGAACCAATGATGGTGTAGAATATCTTACACATATGATATCCTCCCAACGCAGCATTTTATCAGGATCCAAATATTCAGGCGTATGATAACCTGTATCTAAAACCACAAATTTGTAATTAGCCTGGAGAAATAGATCCTTGTTGTATGGCTTTATCTTATGCGGCCTTCTTGGAGGAGGAGCTCTGGCTCGAGGACGAGGACGAGAAATGGGATCATATTGAAAATTAAGCAAATGGTTTCCATTTGTCATTTGGGCTTTTCTTCCAGCTGAGCGTTTATTGTTGCCATGAGAGTTTGCAGACCTAGCGCTTTGCTGATCATGAGAAGAAATTATAGAAGACGATATTTTACTCCCGGGAAGGACTGATCCACCATCTTCTACACCAGATTGGCTCTGCAAATGGGTTTCAGTGTTTTGATGAGCTGGCATCTTAAAATCATTCAGATTCTCTAATTCGCTAACCTATATATCACAGTATACATGAAGTAAGATCGTATGTTTCCTTTTCATTTATCATTTCACAAGAAAGAATGATCTGAGTAACCAACATTCAAAAATCATCACGGTCTTTCAATTACCCAACTCCCTAGTGTAATGAATTTAACATTCATCAATTATTGTTATAAATACATTATTCCATGGAAATGAAGCAAAATAATTAAAATCACATAGATGCAACATTTTCCCCCAAGAGCATGGTAAAGAGAGATTAAAAAATATATTTTAGAAAAAATTGTCTTATAATGAAATATCCATATCTGTTTTTATACTAAATCCAAAAGGAGCACGAGGGGATAAACTTCGGATAACCCTCTAGACCCCTCGCGACTTGATAGATCTTATATGACAATCTTTCCTAATTTAACCACCAATTGTAATACTTATTTAAAGGAAAATAATTTTTTAATTATTTTTTATAAAAATATTTTTAATGCCAAAAGATTAATTAGTTCCATAAAGTCTGAGAAAAAGATTTTCAATCCAATTGCTCAGTTTAAGGTTCGATTACTATCGATATACTAAAAAAACCAATAAATTCTTTTTAAATTTGAACAATCAATTTATAATCTCATTTTTAATATACACAAAAATACCAAACATAGTTTGTTAATATGTACAATACATGACTTATAATCTAAATACATAAGTAGATAATTTAACCAATCCACTTAAAACGCTAAATTACTAAAGAATAACTAATATACAACATACCTTCTTGGAAGATTCAGCATCATCTGCAGGTTGAATCGACAGGCCTGAATCAAAGATTAAAATGAATCAAATATAACTCTTCTCTGTAGAATACATGAGAAGATACACACCCATCTCAAAACTAATAGCACATGAGAAAGAACATCAGATCCCCTGATTAACGCTGGCATAAAAAATTCCCCTCTTTTCCATTACCAGTAGCCTAAAAGCTAAAATCATAATTAAGACTAAAAGGATAATTTCTCGTATCCATTCTACTTCTTTATTGACTAATCAAAACAAAACTAGAAATTGCGTAATCCAACAAAATTTCATCAAAGAGCCCAATCGTCAGCACAGTGAAATATAAATAACAAAACAACTGAGACCCCCAAAACTATAAGTATAGTGATTCAAGCGTGTATGACCTAACTTCTTTTCACCAAATATTTTCAGTAAATTGGATAGTACAGCTACAGCTACAACATCTCAATTTTGAGTAATTTCATTCTTTTGACATCGTGAACAGGATGCAAGGAAATATATTATATCACATCACAAAACCACGGTAACAGCTAAAACAAACAAAATCAAACTCGGAATTGCACATTTCCGTCGATATATTCACTTTCCACGATCAAGGGAAAACAAAAAGAGGAAATCAAACATAAAACAATAGCATTCAGAACTAGTAAAGGCATTCGAGTTCATGAAATACAAAAATGAACCTGATACGTTGCAGGAATCCCCGAGAGACGAATGGGGATCGGAAATCCGTAGGGATGGAAAGGAATGCGTGGGAGAGAGAGTGGATTGAGAGAAGAGGGGGTCGGTTCCATGGTGGGAATTAGGGTTTAGAGAGGAAGCTGAAGACGAAGAAGATGTTGAAGTGGAACCCTGGACTTGTGAAGGCAGGATGGACATGAAAATCTCGGAAGGAACGAGAGGGGAGTTCGTCGTTAGCGTTCAGCCACAGTCACTGCTTCCCAATTTAATTCAATTCCCCCTTTTATTCTCTTCGTTAATTCCTTCAATTTCAATTAATTTTACTCATAAATATCCATATTCCATCAATTTTCCATTTTTAACCTTCCTTAAAATATCATTTCTGTTCTTTTTTTAAAAAAAATAACTTTTGATCTAAGGTGGAGGGAACAATAATTTTACGAAATAAATTAGGTTAAATATTCGGGAATGCGTTTATTTTTGCAGGGATCAAGGTGGAGAATGTACATGTAACGGCCCAGATCCAAGATCCACTACTAGCAGATATTGTCCTTTTTGGGCTTTCCCCTCAGGACCGCTTCCATACCCTTATAAAGGGTGTTTTGTTCTCCTCCCCAACCATTCCTTTCAGGCTTCCCCTCAGGATCGCTTCCATACGGGTGTTTTTTGTTCTCCTCCCCAACCATCCCTTTCGGGCTTCCCCTCAGGACCACTTCCATACGGGTGTTTTTTGTTCTCCTCTCCAACCATCCCTTCCGGGCTTCCCCTCAGGACCGCTTCCATACGGGTGTTTTTTGTTCTCCTCCCCAACCATCCCTTTCGGGCTTCCCCTCAGGACTGCTTCCATACCCTTATAAAGGGTGTTTTGTTCTCCTCCCCAACCATCCCCCGTTTCCATACTCTTATAAAATGGTGTTTTGTTCTACTCCCCAACAATGTGGGACATCACAATTACCCTCTTTCGGGGCCCAGCATCCTTATAGTTAAAGGGTGTTTTGTTCTCCTCTCCAACCAATGTAGGACATCACAATCCACCCTCTTTAGGGCCCAACATCTTTACTAGCACACTGTCTCGTGTCTACTCCCTTTGGGGAACAACCTCCTCGCTGGCACATAGTCCAGTGTCTGGCAACGTCTCAGATCCACCGCTAGTAGATATTGTTCTTTTTGAGCTTTCTCTTTTGGGCTTCCTCTCAAGGCTTTAAAACGTGTATGCTAGGGGAAAGTTTCCATACCCTTGTAAAGGATGTTTTGTTCTCCTCCACAATCAATGTAGGACATCATAGTACAAAAGTTCAAATTCTCGACACATCATTTTTATTAATATTAAAAATATGTAAACAAAAATTTTAATATAATATAATATTAATAAATAAAATTATAATATAAGATTCTCTCTAAAAAAAATAAAAATTTAATATTAAAAAATAATCTTTCAGGCAAAAGAAAAGTTTCAACATAGTATTTGGCTTATATTTCATCGACTTTAGACTTATTAGCCAAAATAAAGTATAATTAATTGAAATAAAATGATGGCTCGTTTGTAGAAAGTCGTGCATAATATGTAAAAAGGTATGGAAAAGACGAGGACGAGGAACACAATCTCCGTCTCTAGCTCCATTTATCTAATAGGGTTCTCACCCTCGTTTAACGGTGATTTTCTACCTCATTCAGGAGGGTCTATAAGAATCTCGGCTCTGTGAGTAAATGAATATTTCTAATTATATTTAAAAAAACACACGTAAACTTTGACATTAACACCCTTAACCATTAGCAAAAAAAAAAAAAAAAAAAAAAGTTCGGAAACGTTTGTATCGTCAATATATGGACGTATACTATCTCTCTACACTTCATAGTCATGCTCGGATATTAGGTGTAAAAATAAAATATTGATTTAAATGTATGCGTCATCCGTTAATTACCATTAACCTTATTTTATTTAAATTAATTATATTTTTTAATTTGATTCCAACTTTATTATGAGGTATATGTATGAGTTGTATTACCTATTAAACTTTTGATTAAAAGAAAAGAAAAGAAAAAAAGAGAAAATTACAAATTTATTTAATACGATTTAATATTATTAGTGAATGATAAGAAAAAATGGTCTATGTTTTTTCTCATCGGCCCAAGCCCAACAACGACTCAGGCCCATTTTATACCCAATGGGCCTGAAAGTCGGTGAGGCCCAACTTGACCCGTCCGTTAAAGATCCGACTGGAGGTGGAAATCAATTTATGAATTTCCTTTTCATTTCCATTTCTTCGAATTCAGAACAGCCCTAAATCCGCCCTTGATCGCCATTGCCGAGCATGGAGGACAACTTCAAAGTTCGTGTGGACAGAATTTTTGGTTCTCTCTCTTCTTCATCATCATCTTCTTCTTATTCTACAGCAGCCTTCAACTCACCTCTGAGTTCTCTGTGGTGCCTTACGGACGATGAGGTCGAGAGGAGGGAGTGGATCAAGGGGAAGGTAGACCAACCGGAACCGGAGCTCGAGCCGACCTCGTTCCTCGCCGGCGAAAGGAAAGTGAACGGAAGGAATTCATTTCGATTCCGAGATGATTTTGAGGATGACGTCGGGGATTTGGACGAAAATCCAGAGTCAAATGGATCGTCGAGTAATTTTCCTAAGCCTGACGATTATGGAGACGAAGAATGGGAAATAAAGTCCTTGATTGGACGGGACTGCACCCTTGATTTTGAGGTACGCTGCTAGCTCTCTCTGGCTCTTTGTCAATGTCGTTTAGAACCATTCTGATTAGTATATTCTTAATTTTTGCTGGTTTATGGGTAAGGAAAGTTCAACTATCGAGAAATCTGCTTGCAGGGCTGTCTGTGGTTACAGCCGCCTCAAGTGCATACTTGAGGATACTACTACATATAAACGAAATGAAAATTCGATATTTGGATTTTGTGCCTTCTTCATAGTGTTAAAATCGAGCAAATACTGTTTGTAAAGGATTTTTTAAAATCTTGTTGTGTCGTGTTGGTAAGCTTGTTGAACGTGAGATATATAGTATTTTGCTGGTACATTGTGGAATATGGAGGACTATCATTTAGGTTTTCTGGACTCCATTTGTCTAGTAGCTTGCCTCCTGAGATATACGATTTGAATTGATGAGTAACTGAAAATTCTATGCAGGAAGAGGAAGATGAGTATGATAAAGTTGCTGTTGGCAAGGAGAAAGTTGGAGATCGGTTGTATATGAAGGACATAACTGACTGTGGTGTTGAAATAGATTCGTGTACCGAACTTCCCACTTCAATACGAAATTTCACCAGAGATCCACGAGCTAATCATTTGGCTGCAAAAGTTCGGCTCAAGGAAGATGCAGAAGCTTCTAAAACAATGGATTCTTTGCACGTCTCCGAGAACGATGCAGTAGCCATTGCTGTTTCTGAATGCAATGTTTCCCAGAACCCAAAATCTATTCTAAAGAGGAAAGATAATCATCTTGATGCCAAATCGCACAAGCGTGTCCGATTCGACCCTGAATGTGAAATTTCTCGAGAGTCTCAAGGATCAGAAGATATCTCTATGGAAGCAAACTCTTCCATTGGAGCTGCTGAAGTTACCAATGAAGCAACCTTCCAATCTCAAGGCTTTTGCCGTCAAGCTCCGGACTACTTACGAAATCCTTCGAGATACACGCATTATACTTTCGATTCATCCAATGAGGTGGATGAAGAGTCCAACAAGAACGCCTATATGGATTTCCTTCAGCTGGTGAGAGGATCGAAGACAATAGAACCGTTGCATCTGGATGATTCTTCAACTGGTCCACCAAAATCTATCACCTTCATCCCAAAAAAGAAAGCAGGTGATACAGTAATGCTTGAAAATCCTACCCCAGGGGAGCAAAATCATCAGAATGGAGTTGGCAAGGAGCTTGTGCACCAGAAAGGCATGCCCATCAGCATCGCATCCGTGGACGCCCAAACTGATGATGTTTGCTCTATGGAGGAAGACGAGCCTGAGAAATTAGAAACTAGAAGAAACATCTCACAAAAGACAGCCCGCCAGTACAGGATGAGAGCTAAGATGGACTCGGAGGAGGCCTGATCGATATGAGGCTGTCCGAATCTCGTCTTTACCGCACTTTGTTTGATGCACAATAGTTTTGGGACACTGCAATGGACAGCCCCATGTATCGGCGAGTTAACGAGTTACTAACTACAAAATTTCCAGATGACACTCTGCACCTCGAACCGTGATCATGGTCAATATCTCCGCTTCAAGCTCCAACCTCAGGGGGGCGGGCAAGGTTCGTGTGCGAGTATGATAACACGCATTACATAATGACTGTTTTCGTAGTAATTCAAATATTGGCTCGTGGTGTATGAATTGGTTTGATAATATGCATGTTTCTCTTGAATTAGGGATATGGTTGAAATTGAGCCATCAACTTTAAAAGGTAGAACTCAAAATTTGTAGTTTATTCCCTTCAAAGACGTAGAAGACACGTTTAGAAGCTTCTTCTCAATTTTACAGCATGGTTAGATGTCTCTTCTAAATCAGTTTTTGCACCAAGTGGGTACAACTTGGGTTAAATTACGGACTAGTTTATTTGGTTCTCAACTAAAGTAATTATCTTCTACTCATAGGCATTACATTTTAAAAATTGTCACAAATTTCTTACGTATTTTAAAATTGACCAATTATTAAATATAAAATTAAAATTTATTTAAACTCAAAAATTAAACTTTTAAATTTGGTATATAATAGCTAATAAGAGACTAGATCAATAGTGAGTTTAGTTAGCAACTATCATCCTATCAATACCAATATTTATGGTGAGAATTGTTGCCTTTTTACCTGCATATATAACACCAATTTCAATTTCTCAAATCTTGCTTTCGAAATCTCTCTTTGCCCCTGTTTTATAAAACTTTTTTGAATCAGGGCAAGAGGCTCAAACGTATGTGAATGAATTGACTTAACTCAATTGTTGCTGGGAAGTGAGTATCGCAATCGCAAGTTCGTCATTAAAAGTGCTCAAAGTGATATTCAGTTTTGGGTAACAAATTTCAAAGTAAGATGATAGGCTCAATTTTGTGTCTAAAAAATTAACCAATTAAAAAAAAGCCTTGATTTGTGTCTAATAACTATAGCTTAACTAACAAATTTTAGAAGACGTTTAATAGGTTATAGATAACAAAATAAAAAATTTAAACATCTAAAAACTTTAAAAGATCGCTTAAAAGTTCACAAATCAAATAGAATCAAATTAAAAAGGGAGAATTCATCGATTTGTAATCGAGT